GGAGTTGCCAGGTGTCACACCATCTGTCCATTTTTTCTAATTCTTGCTGTATGGCGTTTACTGTTATTCCGAGATCTGTGTTCTTGCATTTATAGGTCACTTTTAAGTCATCTGCATATAGTATTGCTTTACCAACACTAAAGCATTCACAGATATTGTTTATATATATTATGAATAGGAGTAGGCCTAATACACTTCCCTGGATTACACCACTACCTGCTGGTTTAGGCCTTGAGATTATCGGGCCAACTTTCGTTATCTGACTTCGGCCACAGAGAAGTGATTTTATCCAGCTCAGGAGAGGGTCACATATCCCTAGTGAGCATAACCTGCTGACTAGCAGATTATGGGGGGTTCTATCGAAAGCTGTTTTTATATCGAAATATAGCACAATTACTAGTTCTCTGTTGTCCCTGCTTCGTGCAACTTCGTTGAAAAAGTCTATGTGACAGGTCACACATGATCTCTTTTTGAGGAATCCGTGTTGTGATGGATTGATAAGTTCATGTTCTAGTAAGTTGTCTGACACTTGGTCTTTAACCACTTTCTCCATTATTCGCGATATTACCGGTGTTATATTAATAGGTCTATAGTTGCATGCACTGGTTTTGGCCCCTGCTTTGTGCTTAGGTAATGTGTATGTGGTTTTCCACACTTCAGGATAAGTTCCAGTTTCCAGTGACAGAGTAAATATTCTAAGTAACAAGACTCCCACTTCCGTGCTACCATTTTTGTATATGACAGATGGTGCGTCGTCTGTTCCAGTACTGCCATTTGACTGCAATGTCCTAATCACTGAGTCTACATTTTGTATATTAAAGTCTATTTCGCCTAATTTGTGGTTACTTTTGCAGGTCATTCGGAAATTTGTGGTCGGGTGCACTCTGGAGTCATTGCAAAACCACCCACTGAGGAGTTCTTTTGTAACCTGGGGATCGTTGTATATTATACCCCTATGTTCCAAGATGCTTACATTATTGTCTTTACTGCTTTCTAGACGTTTTTGCAATATCCTACAAAGTTCCTGAGTTTTGGTGTTACCCGTAAGCGCTTCATTTTCCTCATGTTGTGACTTGATTTTGTGTTTCTCTTCAAGCAGTTTAAGAGTTTCATGTGTTTGGTTTAACGCATTAAATTCAATTGACATAAATATTTATAAGTGCATAAAATATTTATGTCCTTTTCATTTTCACATACTTTCTCTTTCTGTTATTCTGCTGCTCCTATTCATCTTCTGGTCGAGGTCGAACAACCCTGCATCTAAACTGAAATGAGGATTAAATCCAAGCCGTCTATCTCATAACCACTCAAAATCCATGAACGATCTAATTCTACCATTTGAAGACGCTGGCGAACATGCTGTAAATGAGTATTCATGATCTGAAATGAAGAAGCAACTGGTTTTCAAACAGTTTTCAACATTTTACCGAACTTACGAATACAGTCCGCCATGCAGACACACATGGAGCAAATGGAGAATTCTGGAATCGACCTCGGCACCATTTGATGCAGTAAAACAACTTAATATGACCTTATCTAGTTTTCGCATCCACGATCAAATTTCTCTCCTGTTATAAAACTACGATAAGACTGCTGAGAAATGGAATAAATATATCACTGATCTCAACATAATACATCAATAAACTTTAAGCCAAGTGTGCTGTTCACAACAAAGTTACATAGGAGAACTGACTTCAAGCTTTATTTTTCCCAGATATCTGTATTACATTCATCTGATGTCTGGGTATTTGTTAATGCGAAGACAATATTTCTATATCTCTTTCTGTGCTACACAAACAAACTTTATAGCAGACTGTCCCGACTGACTCTAATGTCAGAAAGAACAACCACACTGTAAATTCACTATACATCAAATTATGTGTAATTTATATGATAACTTATCCATGCCTGTACAATTGGTATGTTCCTGCATAAACAGGAAGAAATATATATATATGTTCCAAGATGCTTACATTATTGTCTTTACTGCTTTCTAGACATTTTTGCAATATCCTACAAAGTTCCTGAGTTTTGGTGTTACCCGTAAGCGCTTCATTTTCCTCATGTTGTGACTTGATTTTGTGTTTCTCTTCAAGCAGTTTAAGAGTTTCATGTGTTTGGTTTAACGCATTAAATTCCTTGAATACATGGTATTTCCTTTCCAATTTCTTTAGTTTTAGTCGCGTTTTCCAGCCAATAAATGGAGTTGGTACACAAGTATTTTTAATCCATCCAAAACACACTTGGTTTTTTTGTTAATGCGAAGAAAATATTTTTATATTTCTTGATGTGCTCCATTGAACGACTAGGTATCCCACTGTTCCCACAAATCGAAGACAAAAACGACAGCAACCATGTAATTTAACTATAAACCACATTTATGAAATTTAATAATGCTTATTCATGCCTGAACATTTGGTGTGTCCTACACAGGTAGGAAAAATATGTATTTTATTAAAACATTATTATTAAGTATGATTGCTAATCGTACATGTAATCTAGCATATTGATGATGCCTGTAAACTCGCGCCCCTCATGTACAAAATGAGAATATATTATTATTGTTATACACTTTTGCTTTTTTTGAAGCCAGCCTTTGAAAAACTTCGCTGGATAGAAAGTCGATGGCGTTTTCTAACTCCTTCGCACTTTCTGAGTCAGTATGAGTCATTCTAGAGGTCATATTAAGAAGCTTTAGGATTGTAGGATACGGCGGTTCCTTTTTCATACGTGAGATAGTTTCGGGTATACATTCTAGTGAACTGAATTTCGTTTTTAATTCATCCATCTGTAGCTGCATCTCTTTAATTACGCACGTTAAGTAAGAGAGCTCTACTTTTTCAGACAGAACACCTTCCACCTGTATTACAGGAGTCAGAGTTATGTTCGAGGCTTTTATGTTGAGTGAACTACTAATAATATGGGGTGGTGATGTGTTATTAGACGAGCTGGTGCTATTTTCTAAATTAGTGGTGTTCACACTAACACGCTTTTTAGAATTTGGAACCATCGTTATTAAAGATCAATTATTAGCAACCAATAAATGAATATAAGCGAAAACACGTGCAAAAGCGTCACCTGATTCGAACGTACCGGGCGTATTTGGATATGTTCCACTTCTTATCGAAGTTGAAAATATTTTGAGAAGAAGTAGATTCATGTCATTTCCACCATTTTTTAAGAGGACGGAAGACATTCCATCTGGGCCGGGAGTATTAGTAAGCTTAAGAGAATACACTATTATTATTATAATGCTTACAATGTTAGCAGCTAAAATTGTAACTTAATTGAAATAGCTCCATCGCAGACTAAGAGCAAAAGATAGCAGAAGGGTATTATTATTCTTGCATTACTTAGATGGTGTTTGGGGCCATAGGTGCCCAGTGATGAGGCACATGGAAGAGCTACTATGAGAAAAAATTAGAAATGTTATCATTGATAAAATTCTAGAGTAGTGACTAGAAAGAAGTCACCATGATGTGATATGACATTACTAGTTATTATGTGAAATACTTACTCGAGTTATTCAATGAGGGAAACAGAGAGCTTAAATGATTGTGAGTAGCATGCAGTATAATGCAACCGCCGCAGTTGCAAGAAGACGAAGTCATCAAATTGATTGCACAAGAAACAGGTATGGTGATGGGGCTATCACAGGTTGCATGAAAGAATGAATCATCCCTTTCTAATAGCTTTAAAAAGAGGAGTGGTTATTTGTGCACATAGTCATCACTCCAGCAGTTTCAAGACGAGAGAAAATAAAGCATTCTATTTGCTGTTTCATTGGTCACATTCGTGTGTAGTGAATATGATTTCAATTATGATACTAAAGCAGATGCACATTTCCACGCTCCACAATGTAGACACGCTGTATGCAGCTAGATATCAAATGACGCTGTATCAAATGACACAGGTGAAAACTTATAAACAGGTATTATAAACGAGGCCGAAATTCGATGAGGACTAAGTGGAAGTGTACGAAACCGTGCAAAATATTTAAATTTAACAAACGAAGACCAATATTCACATTGTATCACACTGACAGTGATGCTAGAAGCAAACGCAAAATCACTTTTTGTAAACGTATAATAGGGGTTGATGTATCAGTTTCATAGGCTTATAGTAAGATTTAATATAGGTATGCTATAATATCAGTGACTAAAAGCAATGGAGTGAGTGCACCGAGAAAATCTTACTATGTTGGAACCTGAGTTTAATTTCTGAGGGCTATGAGGACTGGAGAAGCTTGAAAATGCCCTTGTCTTCTCAAGGTAACTTACTTGGGCGATAATTAGTTTCAAGCGGAAATGAGCTGTTTCTTTCTCCTCACTTCTAGTAAAGTGCACACTGGTAGTCGTTGGAACTAGCAAAAGTACTCTGTCTAGAGTACTTGTTTTTAACCCCTCCCATTGAATTCTTTGACTTTCATAAGTATATATTATTGGTAAACACTTACTGCATAACGATAGCTAGGGAGTGAATAAACCCTGCTAACATCAGGTACTGAAGTGTGTAACATGAAAAGTTCACGAAAACAAGCGGTTATTGCCAACGACTAACACAGAATTAGGTGGCACTGCATAGCAGGAGGAATAGAAAGGAGGATTCAACCATGCGATGTCGGCGTTATTCGGGGGTCTATACACTATCTGTCATCGCAAGACTGTATTACAGTATACTTGAGTACGTAACAAAGGCATAAGGAAGTTTAATAATGATGGTCCCTAAAGTATGCTGCATGTTATGTCATACCTCATCCAAAGACAAATCTAAACATAATGCCAATATACGCGCATCGGTGTGAAACTACATTACTACCAACGCTTTGGATGAAATCCGTATTACACCTGTTAACTGGATGCCTGATCAAATGGAAACGGACTAGGAATACAAACCACGCAAATGAAACCTATTTCGATGCATATCTTAATTTTGTTAAGATTGATTAAGATTTTTATGACTCTTATATTAAGAAGTTCCGAACATTTGGTCCAGTATCTATTGGAACGTATAACACAAATAAAAAGTACTTTCGCCTTATTCAAAATTAGGATATGTTTCTGTCAGTAGATTGCGGGCAGCTTTAAGATTCCAGTGTTTGTTATGTTGCCTGTCATTTTAGTTTTGTACATTATATTGAAAAATGTCGCCAGCATACCATATGATGAGATAAAAGATGTTGCCTCCCTTAATCCTGAAATATTTGATGAAAGAACTTCAAACGGAACCTGGCTTATTATATTTTACCGAAAATCCTGTGGACACTGCATAAATTACTCTGAGACCTTTCTAAAACTTTCAAATTCTGTTAAAAGTATCCTCTTAAAAATTTCATAAACCAAAGAAACATTAATAACTCTTAGATTGGAAATGGGTTCTTAATTTGGGCAGTGTTGATTGTGAAAATGAAAACAATACCGTTTTATGTCGCCGGTTCGAAATATATATGGTTCCCACTCTTCAGGTGAGTGTTTGTTATCTAATTTTGTAGTTTCTGTCCTCAAAAGAAGGCGGATATTTATCAGAAAAAATTTCAGCCCAATTAGAAATAGATGATATAAGGTTCATAATTGCCTCGAAGTTACTTAATATCTCTACTCTACAGCTTACAAGGTAGTTTTGGTATCTGTTTACCCACTTTTTTCAGAGAGTTGGCTGTTAACGATCCTCTTACAGTTACAAGTAATAGCGCAGTAACTAACGCTCTGGTAAGTGATCATTTCTCACCAAATTGTTTCTATCATTCACTTTGCCATAAACACTTTTATATTGAGGCAGTATTTCTGAGCATAAGTTACTCTGATCATTTTCCTGAAAGATTTGTTGATGTTATATATATATGATGTTGAGAAACACTGTATAGTTTCATTGAAGAGAAACTGTGTTAGACTAAGCAAGTGAAGTCTTCTGTGTGATTATCATTATTAAGTTTAACTTTCTGTGCATAAAATATATGAAAACCCGTAGTTTGTGTTGTAGAGATTTCAACTATCATTATACACTTAAATTATTGATAAGTGAACTAACTGGAATTGCAGATTTGTTCAGATTCTCTTATTATTCGGTTTGTTTTTGTCAGGCGTTTCAAATATGCAGATCACATTAAAGTTGCACTCCTAAATTTATCGTGGCAGGCTTTTTTAAGCCCTTTGTCTATTTATTCATTATGCTATTGAAATTAATTATTCATAAAGGGAACTTTTATTCTTCTCTCCTAGATAATACTGGATTATAGTTTGCCTTTAAAACGATCGTTCACCAGCATCACTGAGGAAGAAGCGACGGACATTGAGATTACAAGTTTTTTAAGCAAATCGGTAGTTGTAAAGTAAGTGAAATGAAATCTGTCTGATGATCGAATCTGTTCTTGGATATTCTGATTCTTGTGTGCATGGTAAATAGATGTAGCATAATCTGTAGTTTGGAAAGGCAAGTAATACCTCATATTATGACCTTTAACTGTCGGGCTTTTTGTTGAGTGGTTACTAACAGGGTAACTTCTTAGAATATTCGGTGGACAGCCATATTTGTTTCTGTCTGTTGTAGTGGCTAAATACTTTGATGTATAGTTGCCATTTCATTCGGAAGGGATTAAATTTGCTTGATTATAGTTGCAGCCTAGATCCAAAAAATACTTGTAGATTGTGAGTGCTTTGATCAGTTTCAATGAAACCTCTTAGATATGGGAATGCGATGTCTGCTTCAAGATGGTAGCACGTAGACTAAGCTGGATTCCAACGGTATGCGTTTTAGGTAAATTTCGAGTATTTAGGTGGTGTTGTTGAGATTCTGTGGTTGAGAGACGTTTTATATAAGCAATTTTTACTTGGTGTTGCTCATGTCTATAATTAAAGATAAGCTGTATACCAATTTATTCCCCGCGTGGGCAGTAATCGCGTATTCTTTTTATTTCGTCAATGTTTTAGTGTAATTTTTCTTTCGAAACGTCATTGTTGGATATATTTTAACTTTATTGAGAGTAGTTGAGATCTCTTTGTTATGGCTGTGATGTTTTACCTTAAGTTATGCCTAAGGAGGAATTATCAAGCTACTTTGGTCACTAAATTTCGTTTGCAAATTTTACTTGGGATATACAAACACAAATGTCATATGAAATAACCTTGTATGTTAATGATAGAGAATACAGTTTTTTAACAGTCTGTTGCTAATTAGTTTTAATTACATTCTAAGAAGCACTGCGATTTATAAACTATTGTTATCTTTCGAAATAATAATAGTAATTATATTTTCAAGATTTTACCGTATGAAGTAAACGTTGTGTCATTTCAGAGTTTACTTAGTTACCTAACCATTTGGCATATTTTTGAATATTGTTTGTCATCCTGACATTGACTATTATGACTCTACTGAACTATGGCCGTTTAAGATAGTTTCGAATAAAGTTGACCTGAATTATTTACGCTATGGTCACTTTTCATCTTATCTTACCAGAATAAGACAATTTAGAGTTCTCACTTTAATGAAGTCAACAGTCTCTGAGTTCTGTGTAAAATGAATACAGTTTACTTCCTGTAAATATGATAAAATTCATTTCCTCCAGATATACGTCAATATATACGAGTGTTACTGTAATTTCTATGAAAAAAGAAACGTTTCGTATATATAGATTTGAGTATAATTAAGTTGTTTCTGTTAATTCGCAGTTATACGAATTAAAACAGATTGTGAACCATAGACCTTGAGAATACTGTTTTGGTGGTTAAATAGTTTCCTACTGATATATTGACCTAATGATCATGATTCTGTGCTTCTGAAGAATAGTAAGTCAGAAAAAGCGAGTATCCATTGTTGTTTGGTTTTAAATGGTCGTTCCGTCCCATACGTTTGTGACTAGATCACTGTTGTTAAAGTTATTCTTATAGAATGTTTGACGTTGTCACATTTTAAATATTTCTATCGATCATTTATAAGCTTGACGTTGTTCAGTTTTATATGTTTTTGTGACTGAGTGAATACATTTATATATATATATATATTTATATATATATTTGAGGTGTGAATACATTTGTCACTGACAGTTCATCCTCTTACGATCTTAAGTCTTGGTCAGCAGAACCCAAAAAATAACAGCAAATAAGGATTGTTTCTACCAATTGATCGCAAATTGATATCAGTTAGAGAACCATTGAAAACCAGGGAGTACTGGACAGCTATTCCATCCTAGTTTGGGACTCGTCATCAGTACGCACCCACTGGGGTTTGAAACCAGGATCTTTCGGTTACAAGGCAAGCTCGTATACCATTCAGACACTGAGACCCGATTTAATGGCCCATGAATTCTAACTTCGTGATTTGGCGCGACCATCAACCACTGTCATCGGGGGGACATCCTTGGTTTTCAATGATTCTCTAACTGATATCGATCCGTGATTAACTTGTAAAAACAAAACTAATCCTTCCAAACCAACTATAGAAAACAAGGATTGTAATTATGTTTAAGGAACAAAAACTAAGATTTATTCATAATCGAGATTTAGATACTTGTAATCCCCGTGATTACGGAGTACAAAGATGACAAGTCGAAGTTTCGAAATTTTTAGTGCATAGAAGTCGTGGACGACAGTGTAAAAGGTGCCTTTGAACTCAATCAAATTAGAAGAATATGATATCGCTAAATGTCTCTTTGTTAGTCGACAACATACAGTTGATGAAAACAGTAAAATTCGCATACCAACCAAAACCTTTGTTATTGTTGCGATCGATAACAAAATCTACTAGTTTTATTACTTACTAATAAATCTATATCATTGGATAGAATTTTTACACATATTAAGTGGTATGTTTGAGCGAAGTTTGATGGAGGTCTAATTCGAACCTATATTTTTTGCTTATATCTCCTTTTATATCTATATACATTATAGTCAAATATTGTCAGCCTTATTTTGTCTTTTTGTTACATTTTTAGAGGTACAGAAGAAGAAGTTAGAAAAGTACTTGATGGAATGTCGGATATATCACCAAGTTTGGAGGAGATTTCCAAGCCAGATGTGTGAGTTTATGCGTATGTGGCTATACCTGCTCATTTGAAGTTTCTGTATTGATTTAGTTTGTCGTTCTGACTCAGGTGGTAAACATGTATGACTATTGAGAATTGGATTTTTATACCACAAAGTTAAAAGGTTTAAAAATTAAGTAGTTATCTGCGTCCTATATCTTGTAGCTTATGTTGTAAAGGAGACTTGATTTTATGACGCTTTAAAAGCCTTGAATTAGCTGAACATAGTGCATAAAAAGCATTCGCTAACTAATCTTTATAACAGTAAAATGTTAGTTCCTCTGTGTGTACTATAGGTGTGGAAATAAAACATCTCAAATGAAATTAAATCTTGCCAATTAACACATGCATATATAAGTTTTTATCCGAAAACTTTTATTAAATGGTCGTTTGAATTTTAATTCATACTTCTACTCTCTGAGGACCAGTGTTAGGTGAAGTCACTGACTGTTGTTCTAAGTGACATAATTATAATAATAATATTATTCTTTCCTTGTGTTCCGAACGAGGCATAGGGTTTCAGCGGCACTCCTCTACTTTGTCCTCTTGTCTGCGGTCATTTTGAACTAATCCCGTGACTGCCCATAGACTGTCATCTCCTCTTTGCTTGGTCTCTTCTGTATCACCTTTGAACCTACGCCCAGCTCGTCGTTTAACATTCGGTCTTCACTTGATTGAGAGCTTGGCACTATTTGTCCCCTCCTTAGTGTGTGTCCGATCTGTCTCCATTTATTTGGAAATATGCGTTAACAGTAGGTTCTTGATTGGTCTATTTCTAGAGTTCTTTGTTGCTAATTCTTCCCGACCGGGAATCTTATCTTCACTGTAGAGCTAGCGAAGGCAGCTGTTGATAAAAGTCTGCAGTAGGCTGTTCAAAATGCTTTCCATAACCCGTGAGCCAAGTTTCTGACACATATAGAAGAGCTGGCTTACCATTAGCGTTGAGAATCAGGATTTTGTTGATCATAATGAGCGCAGAAGATTCTCAAACTGGTTTAAAAGTGATGTAGACTTGTGTTACCTTTCCGACTCTTGTTTCGACATCGTGATCCCTTTTGCATGCCTGTCACTGAAATGACGCCTCCTGGATACGTGAACGAAGTGACCTGTTTCAAATTTATTCTGTTGATAGCGGTTGCTGCTGGTTGTTGTTGTTGTTTAATATTTTCATCACCTCCGTCTCCTCTGTATTTACTTGACATGAGTCGCTACCGTTTACATGTTTTGTGATTCAAGCTGTCAGTGGATACTGAACCCTTTTGAAACCACTCCAAGCTTTTTCAACTCATATAGGTGTATCATACTCACCATTTTCAAATTATGCAGTTTGTAATGCCTTCCTATGGGAACTGAATGTATTCAAATTACAGTGGGTGATCTGCTTGATACCGTAAACAGTGCTGAAGAGACCAGGTAAAATACCATCCTGGTACAAACTGCTGTAAGTATTATTGTTTGGCGTGTGTGATCCCCAGTAGTATATACTACATTGATGTAGATGCTGAGAATATTCAACAGTCTACGTGGAGCTGTTGTTTCCTTCTTACGTTTTCCCTCCGTACAGTTTGATTGCATATCATTTCTCTACTTCTGTATATGCTTTTGCAAACTGTAGTAATTTGGGCTGATTCATCATTCAACCAGTTTTTTTTTATGAAATCGTAGATTTCTGTGGATGTGTGTAGGACTGTACTAATGTTGCTTATCAAGTAGTGATTTCCACCAGAATTTGATATACTTAAGTCAGAGGAATTATATTTATCGATTCCACTTAGTGACTTACAGTGGAATACTAGCGCCGAATATTAATAATATAAGTGTTATTTATCATACCGCGTTGTGAGTTTACTTCGTTTGTTTTGTTTTATTACTAGAATCACACTCATATAAATACTGTAACCATCATTTGCTATGTATACTTATCGTATGATAGTGAGTCGATTTTAGACTTTCTTACACACCTTTTGAAATTATTCTTGCTATACTATACGCGGCCAACTTTATTCTGCTGGAAAAATAAAATTAAGGAGTGAAGAACTATTTTTTTCCTTCACGTTCCCATTGGAATATAGGGTTTCAAGCTAGTGGATTGAAGTTTCTGTAGCAGTGTTTATTTTTGCAGGATAGGGTTGCTAGCCCCATGCCCAACCTTTCCTCTTTACCAGTATTATTTCTGGCTTAGCGAGGCAAAGGAGTGCGTTGGCGGCCGGAGATCGAACCCCGGACCATGTGAATGGTCCACGAGCGTCCTAACCGCTAGGCCACCGACGCACAAAAAGGACATGTATGGGTCGACATCGCAGTGCCCTTTACTTACACTATGACTCGCCCATTTCTGTTCTAGAGTTCAGTCAGCGGGTTTAGACAACTCTCTAAACCATTTTTACACATCCACAAGTGAAGAACTATGCTGTGATATAAATTATTACCAGACCAAACTGATAGAATTCCCTCTGCACTAAATGAAGGACTAAATTCATGACATTAGTTGCTACCTAGGGTCCAGTCAGGTATACACTGCAGTTCTACAAGAGGTCAGTTACGAGTCACAATAGCTCATTGGTAACGTCTCTGACTGCAGCACTGAGTTTTCTGGTCATAAGAAGCATAAGTTCCCATGAAATTACAGACATGTCCTGTTTAATTATGATTGTCAAAATGAGCGGAATCTAGGTTCGGCAAGGTTTCCTGTCGACTGTCTCCAACCACCTAACAAATATATGATTTGTCTAATCAATAGGCTGGTGGAAGTGACTTTTTTGTTGTGATATGTAAATGTGATTTCTGAACAACATCTAATTAGCAGTAGTCTTTTCAGGAGGAAAAAATGTCCGCTTAATATGTGTGTAAAACTTGGGCACTGTGGTAGTAAGTAATTCCATCTTATTCAAGTATTGGTTTGTAGGGATTTGGTTGATTGGTTACAGGATTTCATCATGAGCTGACATCAGTCAGAGAACCATTGGAAAACCTGGGAGTACTGGACAGATGTTTCGTCCTAGTTTGGAACTCTTCATCAGTATGCACCCACACCACAAGGGTTCGAACCCAGGACCTTCTGGTTACAAGGCGAGCCCGTATACCATTAAGCCACTGGGACCCGGTCCAATGGCCCATGAATTCCATCTTAGTTTGTCTATTAGATGTATCACACAGTGAAACAGTATTATTTACTGGATGACGTTTTGAACAAAATTTTTGGTCAGAATCATATCAAATGTAATCACACGACTTTGAGACTTGAGTTTTATAGTTTTCTTTGTCTTCTATTTGTCGTATGGGTAGTAGAATTTTCCAGATCTCTGGATGGACAGGTGTTGAATCATTCCTATTACACGTATTCTCCTCAGTTGATTCGATAAACAAAGCTTCTGTTATCAATCTCTCCCTTTGCTCTGTTACATTAGATTTTAAAACTGTCATCCTATCCCATCTTATTGTATGGTTGTGTATGACTGCATGCAATGCTATGGCTGAACTATTCCCTAGATTTCTTATCTTATTTGGGTCAACCAATCTAGATTTTGCTAAGTTTTTATGTTCAGCTAGTCTGACTGTCCCTGTTCTACCAGTTTGACCTATGTATTTGACCTGACAATCATTGCAGCAGGGTATTAGATAAACTAAATTGTTTTGTTTTAAAGGCTCCACAGAACTGATCCTTTAACCGACAAAGTTTGTTTCTAATTGAGTTTGTGGATTTGAATGCCACTTTTATTCCCGCCTTGTTAAGAATTCTGCGTAAGGTTTCCGAGGTTCCTTCCTTCTGTATGGAATTACTACTGATGATTTAGATTTCTTATTGCTGGTGTCGTCATTATTATTATTATTACTATCATCATTATTATTGTTATCCCTATCGCTGCCATGATTATTTCCTAGTGTTGAACTTCCCACCTTCTTTCCTTTTTACGTTGCAATCTAACATTGGAAGCTCCTGCAGGATGAAGTCGACTTGATTTCTATTGAGAAGTCACGATTAGTGGGGAGTTTGACCCGATCAGGGGTGAGGACAAATATTCGTCTATGACATTGGCTGGTAATTGTGATAAAATCACTAATCAGTCACTGAAATCGGGTCTCAGTGGTTAAACGTTAACCATGACGTCCTAGATTCGAAGCCCGGTGGGTGTGAACTGCCGATGAGTGATAGCTGACTGATAGCTACTTTTCATTTCTAACATTAGACTCACATTCGAAAATCCATGTTTGCATATTTTTTTGTTTGGAACAGTTGAATCAAATAAAATTTTAGCATCTTATTTTTATTTTGACAAACTTATGTTTACTGAAGTTTTGTATATTACATACCATATCGCATTGGTTGATAATCTTACATGCTTATAAAGACGAATGTGATTCCAGTGTGTTGATAAATTTATTGATTAGCTGAAGACTTAACGAATAGTCTATAGTGTAAAGTATACTATACTGTTTTCGTCATATATTGTAGTAAAACAAAACAAACAGAAAAAAAACACATCCAGTGATTTCATTCAAAATATTCCGAGAGTAAAACTGGATGTTTTAATGCATAGACAATGAAAAAACGCTTTGTGCTTTTTATCTTTTAAATCAATATTTGTTTGGGTATTATTTTAATTTGCACTGTCTTTCTCTTTTCCTTTTAACAAAAAAGAGGTGCAACCTCACTTGTGTTGGGTTTTTCCGTGAGCTTGTAATATACACTAGTATTAGTAGTGGAAGTAAAGTGAAATAAAATTCTATGCATATTTTATAAGTTGAGATAGAAACTTCCCTAGCTAGATTATTAAAATAGGTTTCTAGGCTTTGAGAGATATATTCTATTCACTATGTTTTATTATATTAGGTTTGCTGTAACTTTAATATGAACAAGGATATTTTCAAGTATTAGTTTTGTAGGGATTTTGTTTGATTGCATGGAAGATTTCATCATCAGCTGACATCAGTTAGAGAACCACTGGAAAACCTAGGAGTACTGGATGGCTGTTTCGTCCTATTTTGGGACTCTGGGACCCGATCCAATGGTCCTTGAAGATGAGACAGTAACTCATCGAAGAAAACATTGCGAAATGGTCGTGCTATGTCGTGAATCAGCAGAAGTTAGAATTCAAAGACCATTGGATCACGTCCCGGTGACTCAATGGTCTACGAGCTCGCCTTGCAACCAGAAGGTCCTGGTTTTGAATCCCGGTGGGTGCGTAATGATGAAGAATCCCAAACTAGGACGAAACATCTGTCCAGTACTCCCAGGTTTTCCAATGGTTCTCTAACTGATGTCAGCTCATGATGAGATCCTCCATGCAATCAAACAAGGATATTCTCTAGTATGCAGTGTATCTCTATTGAAGACATTTTTTCTAGTTGCATCCTGTTTCAAGTTTGATCACCAGCTGACATCAGTTAGGGAACCATTGGAAAACCACCCGTGTACTGGGCAGCTGTTTTATTCCAGTTTGGGACTACTTTCAGCTGTACACACCCACCAAAGGTTCGAATTCTCAAGACCTGCCAGTAGTTACAAGGGGAGCTCGTGGACCATTCAACCACTGAGATCTGGTTCAATCGTCCATGAATTCCAACTTCTATAAATTCATGATTTCAACTGATGTCAGTTCATGATCAAACTCGAAACAAATCAATTCCTTATGAACCAATTCTTAAAAAGTTAATATTCTGATGTATTTGAAATTTTTCAACTGAATGCATGTTCGTCTGCGTTGGAGAAGATATCACAAAATGGTAACTTTTTGGAAGAGGCGTTGGTGTTAAATAACCATCCTATAAAATTCATTAGGAAGATCAAAAAAGGCCAAAAGCAAATTAAAAATAATTGTGAAACTAGTAATGATAAGATAAATAAAAAAGAATATAAGTCATCTACTGTTACACCATATAAGGAGGGGACGTCTGAGTCCCTACGTAGGATTATTAATAAAGCAGGAATTAGGGTGGCATTCAAACCTACAAACTCACTCAGAGACAAGCTCTGTAGGCTAAAAGACCCGGTGAACCCAATTAAACAAAATAATGTAATTTACAAAATACCTTGGAATGACTGTGAGGTCAACTATATAGGTCAAACTAGTAGATCCGGGGTAATCAGATTGTCAGTACATAAGAATTTAGCTAAGGTAAGAATGATTGACCCCGAGAAGATGAGTAATCTAGGAAAAGCTCAGCAGTTGCATCGCATGCATTAACACACAACGATATAATAGGATGGGAGAGGGTTAAGATTCTAAGAAATAATCTATGTAGTTGGAAAGAGATTGATTACTGAGTCCTGTTTCTTTGAGTCTACACCTAACACATGCCACAGAAATGACTCAATGCAAATACCAGAAATATGGAAGATATTATTACCGACAGTCAAATCAGAGGAGGATAATAAATAATCATAAAATTATATTTCAATTCAAGCACATCACAACATCCTAACAAGTTACTTATTATGACTATAAAAAACATTCGCCTTATTTCCCACCTGATTGCATTTTATTAATAACACTCGTATCATTACTTGTGAATGCATATTATCTCATACTGATTTTTATTCAGATATCTAGTCAATTCCATACATGTATACAAATGAAGGAGAACGTTGTGTGAATGGCAATAGTTTGTGCTCGAAACGTCATCAGTTAACATTACTGTATAACACTGTGTGATTCATCAAAATAAAATCTTATCCATAATGGAGGTATACTCTACCACAATGCCCAAGTTTTATACTTATATATCTAAATTTTGCTGATTAGTATCCATAATGGTGATTATCGAAAATGCTGAAAAGCCTTTTTGTAATTTTTCTGTGTTATTCTCCACTAATCTTACTTTGAGTACTTCTTAGAATTATTTTTATTTTTACTTAGATTACTAGTACATAGACATTTTGCTTTTAAAATGTTGTAAGCTGTAGGCTATTTCTGTAGGAGCCAGGAATTAAGTAATCATCGCATAGGCCTTATTCAGTTTTAAAAGCTCTTTTTACACTTTTGTCGAATTCAGAATCTATTTAAAGCAACTAATTGGTCTGTCACCCATAATGAGATACGATTCGATAATATATTCTAATTTTTATCGTATATTTTTTCTCCCCTAAATTTAACAGGATTAAAATGAATGAATTTCCTACCAAATATTTGCCAGTTTATGGAGTTGATATTTACCGATCGCTAAGTATGCTGTTACAATCAGATGTTAGTGCACTTGATGTCATACAAGGAACATCCTTGGCAGCGCTTAAACAGTTTCTTCAGATGCTACATGAAGTAAGTTTTCTGTTTAAAGTAGTTTTTCTTCTCTAACAGTCTATTTTGCCAAAATAATATTCATTTTTATTGGTGATGTTCAGCTGTAGAAAGCTCGTCAGTCACGCTTCACTTGATCTCGGGTTCAGTCATCGGCCGACGCACTCTAAAACTTTTTTTAAGCCGACAGTAAGCCAAGTAGAAAGGGAAGATTCGGTGTTTGAGGCTAGTAACCCCACCCCTGAAAAATAAAACCACTGTTACTAAAACTTCAAAGCTCTAGCTTGAAGCCATATGTTCCACTCTAAAGGTAAAGGAATAAAATAAAGTAAATTCAATCCATAGAACTTAATTTATGTTTCTTACTGAATTGGGAGTAAAACTGGACACTATGGTGGTGTAAAGTTCTCTCTTAGTTTAAAAGAAGAAGTGTAAGCGATTTACATTTGCTTTCAGATGGTGGATTTTTGTGGGGATTTGGATTAGTTTCAATGTAGTTTTTGTCACGAACCAACATCAGTTAGAGCGGTCATTGAAAACTAGGCTGCACTGGACAGCTGTTTCATTTTGCATCGAGGCTGTTTACCAGTGTGCACCTATGGCCCCACTAGAAGTAGAACCTGCGACTTTCAGCTTAAGAAACAAAGCTCGTTGACCATTCAGCTATTTGGGCGGGAATTCAGTCACCTTTAAAATCTAACCTCTATCCATTTGTGATAAAACGTCACCGTCAACCAATGCTATGTTAAGCTGAAGTGGATGCTCCCCGAAGGCATTAGGTGAAGGTTGTGTCACGAACTGACAGAAATTAAAAGTGATGGTCTACTGGATTCCAGTTCAAATGGCTAAATGGTCAATGAGTTTGGTTGTTTAAACTGAAAGTCCTGGGTTCGATCCCTGGCAAGGTCATAGGTGCGTACTGATAAAGATTCTCAATCTAGGAAGAATTGGCTGTTCAGTGCTTCCTCGTTTCTAATGATATCTCTAACTGATGCTATTTAGTGACCAAATCTATGTTCAGAATACTGTTTTCAGTTAAATCTTCTTCAGACTTCAGGTTAATTTACATAGGCTTTATATTTACGAATTTTGAAGCTATGATAGTGAATTTGTGAATCAAATGAATGTGTTAAATGTTATAAATACTATCAGTGATAACAACGATTATAATAACAATAATAGGGGTGGTTATAAGGTCAACGATAAGAAAAGTACAAACAGTTGACTCAGGTAGTGATAAAACTGATGAAAACAGCATGACTGTGTAAACATTTCAGTAATTTAATTAGGTCAGATTCTTGTAAAATTACAATTTACGTATTGTTGAAAAGACACAAAGTGAATAGATAATAATTGTTTAAATAAATATCATAAATTAGATATATCTAGACCATAGACGTCGTAAATTTCCTGCTATAATTTCGGCGCCAAATTATACTGATTCATTACAAAAAATGTTTAAATAATCCCAGCATGTTTAGAGCTTCAAAATAAGATTTTTCTGAATGTTTAACTGTGTAAGCTCTGGCTTCCTCAGCAGAATTACTCGGAATGTTATTTTTGATTTTATAAACACGCTAAGATTACTTTAAATAATTTTATAAACGTGAGAAATCTATGAAATGGGTGAAGAATATGAAATGTTCAGTGGAGAAACGAAGTTAGAACAAACTTGTTTTTTCCTCGACTTCTCATAACTTCAGTTGTATGTAAAAGACGAGTTTGACTTCCGTTAGAAGGCGTCATTGGAATGCTAGAGATAATCACGAGAGCGCTTCTTCCGTCCACTTAGTGACGACAAAATCGAGCTTCTTATGGATCTTGTTTTACCTTTTCCAAATCATGATAGAAGGTGCTCAGTAGTGTATTTGTTTATCTGCCTAGTTGTCCTTACTTTCTCCACAGAAGGAGATAAATTTTTAAATGCACATGGAAGTGGGGTAGATGGGTGGCTTATCTTCCACCTATCCATTGGTGCTTAGTTGGCTGGAAAAAGATAAACAAAGGGTGGCAGCAGTAAAAGTTTTTTTACGGATCTAAAGATAATATTCGATATAGAGCTTTACTGGTCACGTTTACATTGGACCGTTGCTTTATGAATAAAAGTATCTTCCAAAAAGAGCTATGTTTCTCCTCATTGTACATATTGTTCACGTCTGTCTGTTTTTTTTACATAGAACTTTGAACATATGTGCGGAAGTTCAAGTCACCACACTCCATGTAGCACACAAAGCAAGAGAAGAAAGTACAAGAAAAGCATAATAGAGACAGTAAGCAGAGGTGTGAGACAAGGAAGAGTAATAACGAAGAACAAAACAGTTTCACTGGAAATCATAAGTTACAATGAGTGGATGTATCTGCGCCAGTGAGAACGATTTTGAGCCATGTCACCAGTTGTTTCCAACCACTGATTTTTACCGTCCCGAGGACACCGACCAGGAAGTCGACACCTTCCTACGTGGCTTAGACTAACTGTTGTAGATTTCATTGACTCGTGCCATGTTTTGTTTTACCGCCGCTAGCTTTTTTCCAGCCTGACCCTATATCCGCTAACATTGTTCGTCGAGGAAGGCGATGACTAGGCATACGTAGCACATGTCCTAATCATCTCAGTCAATGTAATATCACGGCCTCGTCGATTGATTTCCTCTCCTTACCTAGCACTCGACCGAAGTCTAACCTCAATATTGCTCACCCTATTGTACCACTTCACACGGGAGATAGAGCGCAGGCACCTATGATCAAAGACAGCTAATCTTTTCATGTCTTCCACTTTCAATGGCCAGGTCTCGCAGCCATAAAGGAGGACGGGGCGGACTGCTGAGTAGTATACCCGCCCTTACGCCAGAGATGGCGTAAACTGGCATGTGCGAAACTAGCCCTCTGTATCCGTGCTGAGATTCTGTTAGAGATCGACCCGTTGGGGTTGATGGTACGTACACCCTTATAAGTGTGTTAGGACAACGTATTTCGATTACGGATGCATGTTGATTCGCTTTCCAAGGAATCACAGGTACACATCCTTCCTGTCCTATTTGTGAGGCATGTGTTGTGCTTAGGGATTTTGAAGCGGATAGTTACAATACTGAAGAAATGTGTATATTGTCCTACAAATGCAGTCTTCCTATAAGCAGCCGTATTGAGTGAATTAACCTCTCTTCTGTTGAACTAAACATAAAGAACATGTAATTTACCATAGTGTTCTTCACAAGCGAAAACAAATGATGGTTGTATACGACTAAATTTCATTAACATCCTGTTTTTATCTACTTTCTAGTTAGGAAGAATAAAAAATAACAAATTCGCCATCATTATAACAATAATCAGAATTCACTTTCTCTATTAGTAGTTTCAAAAGACCCTATCCAGACTTATTAGGGAAAAAATCTGTTTAAAATTGGGCCCAATGAAGATAATGTTTTTTTTTCTTCAAAATATTGTTCTTTCGGTGAATTCCTTTTCTCTTCTAGTTAGTGAGACGTGACTCGAACGTGGAACCTACTGACTGAAATCTAATCAGATGCATGTATCTGCATCAGATAAAAATACACGAGAGTAAAACAAATATGTTGGGGAAGAGTATTAAACAATTTTCGTAATCTGGGAGATTACAAACAATTAATACATCTGCACTATTAAGAACGATTTTCAGTCAGTCATTCAGTTACACGAAACGAATTTTTAGTGTAATGCCAGAACATGAAAGCTGCAGTTTGGTTCGTTAAGAGGACGCCCTATGAACTCATACTTTTTAACTACTTTCGAACAGTCCTTTGAAATCCACATCTAGATTTGACCAAGTCTGTTCATAGCTGATGAAATATTGATCTGTAGGTTCGAATCAACTTTATATCCTGAAGTTAATTGCATCCCTTGTCTTTTAATTGACCATTAGGAAGAGATAATCATGCTTGATATCGTAAGGATACAGTGATGAGATTTTCTCCATTTTAACTCTTTATTAGTATTGCTTCGCTTCCTTCTTGTTATTTAACATATTTCGATCCCTGATTTGGATAAAACATGAAGTATTCTACTCCTCACGTAGGAGCACAATTTATATATTACCATTGAAAAGGCATATAACTGAGTACAAAATAAGACTATATGTTTAGCTCATAGCAGTCAGATCGATTGAGAAGTGCGTATCTAGACAGCTGAAGTTCAGACTTTGAGGGTGTGGATTTTCAACATCCCGCTTAGAAGCTGGCATGCTGACTACTCACTTCTTTATTAGGCCTATTTTACACTCATCACTTTCACTTTCACTTGAAGTTCTATATGAATCTGTCTCTCTTCTTTGATCTTGACTTTTTTCATGCAGAAATTCAAGTGTTTTCTCTCTAGTACAAAAATGTTATTAGCATGTGGATACACTTCTTACACTCAGTCCAGTTTTTACTGAATGGAATATAGCTCCAACATTTGATGAATTCAAGTTCGGTCATGGATTGTTATCAGTTAGAGAACCATTGAAAACCAGGGAGTACTGGGCAGTCGCTGTTTCATCTCAGTTTGGGATGAAAACACCAAGATTCAGACCCAGGATCTTCCAGTAACAAAGCAAGCTCGTAGACCATTCAGTCACTGACACCTGACTCCATAGCCCATGAATTCTAATTTCTATCACTGAATCGGATCCCAGTGGCTGAATGGTTTACAAGTTTGTCTTGTAGCCGGAAAGTCCTGGATTCGAACCCCCACCAGCGAGTATGTACCCCGAAATAGGCCCGAACTAGGATGAAACACCTGCCTAGATTTTCACCGTTGTTCTTACTGTTATGAATTCATGATCAAACTTAAAACAGATCAACCCCCTACAAAAGAACTCCCGAAGATTAAATAAGTTGTTTAATTCAGTTAGATCTTCTATTTACTGATCCTTTTAGAGAAATGCCCCATTGCCTAACGAATTGCTTTAGGCATTATTATTCAAATTTAGGTAAGATGCCGTTGGGGTTATACGTTAGCACTTTTTTTCCGTTTCACTTCCATTAAGTGTTTAAAGCACTCATAATTTTGTAGAATATTCATACTATTGAAATTATTTTCTTATTCCTTCTTATTCGCTTCTGATTCCAGTTACTTCCAGCTTCAGAAGAATACAAAGAATACCTATCAAATGTATCTACTTGGTTAAATACTAAAACAAGTATAACTGGTCAAGAATGGAGCGCATTTCTTAAAGAAATTAATGTACGTTTTGATTTTATTCATTATTTTGTTTTCTCGCCTAATTCCTGTGTTAACTTTTGTGCATGTTTGCAATGAATTGACAACTTCTAAATAATAGTTTATACATTATAAACACATTTCGTTCTATGGTACACCTATAATAAATATATTACTAAATTACTATGATGAGGCCTCATTATATGACATTGTTCACAAATATCAACAGTGTTATCGAAAATATTACTAGTGAAAGTCTTCATTACTTACTGAATGTATATAATTATTTTGAAGTTAATCTGTTACCAAAATTAAAATTGTTTTGGACTAAAATTATGAATTTTAATGTAAGCTATAGATAAGCTAATCGGAATGTTTAACAAGAAAACACATGACCGATATTGTTTCCAATATGATAGGTATCTAATGTATTCAATTAGTGAAAATATGCTGTATTTGTTTCAAGTTTGACAACGAATTGATATCAGTTAGAGAATCACTAAGAACCAGGGACAGCTGTTTCATTCCAGTTTGGGACTCATCGGTGGTAAAAACCCACCTGGGTTGAAACTTATGGCCTTTCAGTTACAAGGTTAGCTCTTAGACCATTCAGTCGCTGAAATGGAGTCCAATGGCTCATCAACAGTAGGGTGCAGCAGGTCAGGTTTGAGGACAAATACTCGCCGAAGACATTGGCTAGGGGTCGCGCTATGTCGTGAATCTGCAGAAGTTAGAATTTATGGGCCATTGGATTGGGTCCCAGTGGCTTAGTGATATACGAGCTCGCCTTGTAACCAGAAGATCCTGGTTTCGAATCCGGTGGTGGGTGCGTACTGCTGAAGAATCCCAAAGACCGGGACGAAACAGCTGTCCATTACTCCCTGGTTTTCCAATGGTTCTCTAACTAATGTCAGCTCATGATGAAATCCTGTAAACATTTCTAACTTCTGTCGATATGCGATTTTAGCGTAACCATCAGCTAATTTCATCGGCCAGTATTTGTCCTCATTGCTGACTTGGTAGATTACACTACTCAAGACTTCCCACTAGGACGCCAGTCAACTTCGTTCTGTAGCAGCCAGTCAACAGATTAATTTAGATCAGATTAATTTTTCAGAGTTAGTGTGCCGGGATTTGATTTGTTTCAAGTTTAACTATCGATTGATATCAACTGGTATCATTAGTTCTCTGAGTGATATCAATCCGTTGTCAAACTGCCAAAAAATCAAATACCTAATTGTTGAAGATATGTTGTATTTATCCTGTCAGGTGAAGGCTTGGGATGTGCGAGGATGTTTGTTAAATGAACTATGATTGATTGAATAATATAACCTGGGTACCATGATGAATTTATTCAACTACTGTTCAAACTTGCTAGAATAGAACTTGGGTACTGTGATAGAGTATGATTTTACTGTAGAGCACACAATGAGACACTATTATTTACTGATAACGTTACGAGCACAATTCATTGCTGCTCATAATCACATGAGAGCACTCACATTACCTTCAAATTTCTCTTACATAACTCCAGTATTGATTATCCTTTGACTTTATCGGCAGAAATATTTTCCGCATCTTTTGTCGTGGTATTGTGTCTCTTCTATCGCTCGTCTCAGGTGTGGATTCAATGAATAAAGAATCAATAATCAACCTGTCCCCCTAACTACCTATATTACTTTTTCAGAATATTGGCTGTATCCCACCCTGTTATGTGATTGTGTGTCAATGCATACCTTGCTACTGTTGGTCTTCTTTTTCGTAACTCTTCATCTTCGCGGGATCATTCATTCTACATTTAATTAAATTCTTATATTCAGATAATCTGACCTTTGTAGTTGACTTCAAAGTTATTACAAGGTATTTTGCAGATTACATTATTTTGTCTAATTGGGCCGATAGAGTCGTATACCATACACAGCTTGTACCTGAGTGAGCTTTTAGGTCTAAATGCCACCCTAATCCACCCTGCTGTATTAAGAATTTCACGTAGAGTTTCAGATGTTCCCTTCTTATGTGGAAAAACTATAGATGCCTTAAATTCCATTTTTCTTTATTTGTGTTACAGTCAACAGTTCCATTATTATAACTTTTTCTTGAGTGCTTTTTGATCTTCTCAATGAATTTTATGGGATAGTTATTCAGTTTCAATACTTCTTCTATCCGTTTCATTTCAATATTTAGGTTTTCTGATGTACTATTTAGGGTTACTGCTCGGATTGTTAGACACTGAACTAAGCCTTAACAGATAACGGATCAGATGAATTAAGGATTAAATATCCACTAGAATGTGTTGGATTTTTATAAACGCTAGTGTATAATTTACCTCATTCTGTTCATTTTAATTTACAATCTAACATAGTTAATTCTCCTAGTTTTATTTCCTGGCTGAAATTAAAATTCTGTTTCTTCTACTATTGAATTTATATTTTGGATGGGGGATTTCATAATGAGCTGACATTGGTTAGAGAACCAATGGAAAACCTGGGAGTACTGGACAGCTGATTCATCAGCCTAGTTTGGCACTCTTCATCAGTACGCACCCACACCACAAGGGTTCGAACCCAGGACCTTCTGGTTACAAGGCGAGCTCGCAGACCATTGAGCCACTGAGACCCGATCCAGTGGCCAATGAATTCTAACTTCTGCCAATTCATATATGTTAAGGAACTTGAATCATATTCTGTTTTTAACGCTGTGAGTATTATTCACATATCTCCACTATATTCAAGCATAGTGTATTTAAGCCTATACCTGAATATTTAATATGAAGTTATTTTAAATAAATATATGAACTGTACTCAACCAATGTGTGTGTGTATGGGGAAGAGATTATTCTCCTATACTATTTTCCAGATTATAAGATTTATGGAGATATTAGATTAATTTCACTTGTTAAATTTCCGTCGCGAATCAACATAAGTTTGAGGGATCATTGGAAGTGAGTGAGCACTGTACATCTATTTCGTCCTATTTTGAGACTTCTCATCAGTGTGCACCCACAACCGCGCCAGGGATCGAATTCCAGACCTTTAATTTACGAGATCAAGCTTGCTGTTCATTCAGCCATTTGGAATGGAAATTCAATGACTCCTGAATTATTTGTAAACTCCTAAAGCTGTAGTGGGAAGTCGTAGCTAGTGGGATGTATTGTGTCAGGGTGAAGTGAATGCTCATCGAAGGCATTGGCGAGAGCAACTGTGTGTCACGAAGTGATAAAGTTGGAATCCAGAGGTTATTGGATTGCAGTCCAAGCGGCTAAATGATCGAAGAATTTGGACTCGTAACCTGAAAGTTCTGGGTTAGATTCCTGGAAGGATAGAAGGTGTGCACTAGTGTGATGAGCCTCAAAATAGGACGAAACAGTCGTCTGTTGCTCGCTAGCTTTTAGTGATCTCTTTTTCACTGATGTTGGTCCGTGATGAAGATCTAACAATTAAAATTTTCACTACTTTTGTTTACTAAGTTCTAACTGACAGTATCCAAGTTTTTGTGTAACAAATTAATCAAACATCTCACTTAGTAAGAGTTTAACGTCAAAAGAATATGTGGATATATATATATATAATATATATATATATATATATATATCTTACGGACTGAAGCTATTGAAACTTCTGTGCTTTAGTTTTTCTACTGACAGCTTGTTATAAGTGTTTTGTACATATATTGTTCTGCATCACACGTCGTTCTATTTTGTATATATACGTTGATTACGTGCAGAAGTCTTATGGTAATCTTGACTTTCATAAAGAATAGAAAAATTTGTTTTAATGAGTGATTTCTATGAAAACAACTTCTGACATTTTTGTGTTCATTCATACTCTCTATGTTTGTTGATGAACCGCCTTTGTAATCAATAAATTTTTAGAATGTACGAACAAAAGATGTTGGATACTTATACTTTAAAGATGCATGCATTCTTTATACCTTGTGAATTACTAGTTTATAAGTGGTGTGATTAAAAGACTAGTGATAACGTGGCACAAATGCATTGACTTAATATATAATGATATATAATATATATATATATATATATATATATATATATGTAATTATTTTGCTAATCAGCTTTTCTGAAAGATATTTTAATATTTGTGCACTTTGTTCAGTTGGCTGAAAAGTTTAGAAGATTAAAAGATTATCTAGCTATACATTTAAGCTGAAGTCTTGACTTTTTATGTCGGTGTGATTCATAGCCTTTTGATTCAGAAATAGAAATGAAGTGTACATTTTAAGTATTACCCCTATGTGACATCTAATTGGACCTCACTGGTCACGACTTCTCACTAGGACTCCAGGAAACTCACTAGCGAGCGTCAGATTAATTTTCTAAAGTTTGGTTTGTAAGGTTAGTTATGTTTTTACGAGTTGATCACGGATTGATATCAGTCAGAGAACCATTGAAAACAAAGGAGTACTGGACAGCTGCTGTTTCATCCTAGTTTGGGAATCATTAGCAGTACGGGGTCGCGCTAAATCACCGATTGGTAGAAGTTAGAATTCATGCTCTGGCCATTGAATCGGGTCCTAGTGGCTGAATGGTATACGAGCTTCCCTTGTAACCGGAAGATCCTGGGTTTGAATCCAAGTGGATGCGTACTGCCGATGATTCCCGAACTAGGATGAAACAGTAGCTGTTCATTACTCCGTGGTTCTCAATGGTTCTCTAACTGATATCAATCCGTGATCAACTCGTAAAAATATTAGCCATGTGCTTATAATGTCTTATGGTGTGTCACGTGCCTAAGTTACATATTTGCTAAGATTCATCATAGAGATATTTCTGCATTTTTGTAAAGACTAACCCGTTTCCAAGTATTTAAATTTATGTAATTAACTAAATGTGTTGGGAACTTTGACGCTGAGTACAGCATTTGTACAGGTCATTCACTAGGATCAATTTATATAATGCTTTGTTCTGCATAATTACAGTTTAGGTGATCTATATATCAATGTGCATTGGCTTAGTCCATGACATTTGTTATACATATATAAATACATGACACTTCAGAAACAGATTGTTTACCACACCATGTAGTTATTTCAGTTATTAGTTTTTCAGACATTGTTGATAGATTTCATCCTTTCCTCCAGTTAACTTCTCATACTTGAATGTAAACTCTTCACTGCTGTATGTATCTTTTAATTTTCGAAAAAATTATGAAGCAGTATAAAATTTATTATATCGTATTATTGTTGCTATGATTGTTCCTTTTGGTTCCCAGTAGAACATAGGGCTTCGAAAAACATCTCCACTTTGTTCTATTTTCTGATGTCCCCTCTAACTGGGTCAATGATTGCCCAGAATCTTTCATCTCATTCTCAGACGATCTCCTCCATGTCACCCTAAGACGACCTACTCGTCGTTTCTCATTCGGATTCCACCTGAGCGACAGCCTGGCGCGTGATGTCGTTCGACGATTTCCTCAAAGTATGGCCGATCCATCTCTATTTTCTTCTACATATTTCTTGAACACTAGGCTCTTGGTTAGCTTGTTCCCATAGTTTCTTGTTGCTAATTCTTTCTGACCATTTAGCCTTCAATATAGAATGAAGGCAGCTGTTGATAAAATTGTGCAACCTGTTAGAAACGTTTTTCGTGATGCGCCAAGTTCCTGATCCGTATAGAATAACTGACTTGACATTTGTGATGAAAATCCGAATTTTGTTGTTTATGCTGAGTGAAGAAGTTTGCTGGATTACTAGTTCGCTAGTTTTCTAGCCGGTTTCAATCCTGGGAAAAAGGGAGGTTTAGGGCTAGCAACCGTATCCTGGAAAATCAATCAAACTGCTACAAAAACTTCAACGTACAAAAAATATTATTCTGTAGATTTCATTTTTATTTCAAAGGGTATGTTTGAGTTAAATCCAAACAGATCGGAATACCTCCTCACTAATAACAATCTTTGACTTCTTTGATATTGGTTCACTCATTCCTGTCAATTAGTTTAATTTTATCTTCGGTAGTTTGGCGGTAGAATGCTCGCCAACCATGCCTCACGTGGTCCTGGGTTCGACTCCCCATCGGACGTACACCTAAACCTCTCTAAGCTGGTAGTAAGGCCGGTGAAGAAAGAAGGTTGGGCATGAGGCTAGCAACCACACCTCTCAAAAATCAAACCACTGCTACCAAAACCTGAAAGCTCTAGCCTGAAGCCCTATGTTCCAGTCGGAACTGAAAGGAATAAAAAAAGTTTAATTTCAGGTTAGTTTAATGTTAATACGATGGCAAACTATTATTATCATATTAGTAGGAAATGAATTAGTATTTTGAAACTTTTGTGAAAACTGATTTTATTCAGCATGTGTTTTGTTTCCTTGTTTTATTAGTTCCCATTGTATAAAGGACCATTTATTGGTTGTCGTGGCAGTAAACCTCATTTTCGGGGTTATCCATGTGGTTTGTGGACTTTATTCCATGCACTGACTGTGCAACAGTATTTATTGTCAACTTCTAAATCAGGTTGGTATAAAAATTCATTTTTATTCCAGACGTTTTTTACACTTAAATAAACTTACTTCTCTGATTATTATTGTTCCTTTGCGTTCCAACTGCACCATAGGGCTTGAGCAAAACATCTCAAACTTTTTCCTGTCCTCTTTAGCTGCCTTACGATTGCTTGTAAGATCTCGTCTCCTCCTTGCACGATCTCTTCCAAGTCACCCCCGGACCTACTCCCGATTAGTCGATTCTTATTCGGGTCCCACTCGAATGAGGGCCTGGCTCTCTTTGTCCTTCAACGGTATCCTCAGCGATTGTCCGATCCAGCTACGTTTTCTTTGAGTATTCGTCGGACAATTAGTTCTTGATTGATTCGTCCCAGAGTTTCTTGTTGCTATTTCTTCTTGACCGGCCATCTTACCTTCAATATGGAGCCGGCAAAGGCAGGTGTTGATAAAAGTCTGCAGCAGGCTGTTCGTTACTTGCTAGCCAAGTTTCTAACTCATACAGAAGAGGTGACTTACCACTGGTATTGAAAATCCGAATTTTGGTGATCATAGTGAGTACAGAAGATTGTCAAACTGGTTGGAAAGTGATGAAAATTTTTGTTGCTTTCCCGATTCTTGTCTTGGTATCCTGATGTATTTGTTGCTTCTTCTACGAACTTGTAGGTATTCGCTAGGAGATTTTTGAATTTATGGGACATTAGACATAAATCTCTCATAAAGTACAGATCTTTTACTTTACTTTAATTATCTTAAATCTTATTCTTCTCAATAGGCTAAACATCAAATATAGAAATGTTTACGTACGAATGGTATTAACACCTGAAAAGTTTTCAATAATAAAGTCTCCTTCATCAATAATATCAACTTAATTTCACTGGCCAACATGTTCAGTTACTAATTGTATTAACTGATGACATGCAAACGGAGAGTTGTATATAAAAAGGATACTCCGAGTCTGACAAGATACCGTTCACTAATTTGTTGTATGAACTTGAGTAACTGTCTGCAACAGTATTAACAAGTTTGTTTAGGTGTACACAACTCGCCCTACCGACAACTTTGAGAGCTCTTCGCAGTGTAATAAAGTCTTTTTCAGTAACTCAGGAAACAATATAAGTAGTATACAAGAGTTAACAAACTCAGAAAGCAGAGAATGAGTGACACCAGACTGTCTTAACTTCCTAATGTAGAAGTTTAGATGAAATATATCTTTTTAGAAATGAGCATGATGTGGGAAGACCAGCATATATCAAGGAAAGGCATATTTGAAGGTATTTAAAATTTGACTTACTTTCAACTTCAGTACTTTCTATGGTACAATGAATCATGAGAAAGAAAGAGTTCATGTAAATCACGTTTGTATGTGAAAGTGAAATTAACAATCTGATATTAGGAAGGATTTAGTTTAAGACCGTATGACAAGGATGGTTGACTTATTTCTGATAAAAAGCTATTCGTTTTGGCATAATCTGTTCGAGATATGACCGGTATGGTAATAGCCAGATCATCAGCATACTCAACAACAAAATTGGCTTCATCTTTACGTATAACTACTTCTTGTTACCCATAAAATATACTATACCTTTGACGATGAATCATTGACCTATTTACTGATTTTTTCGATCAATAATTCACAAGTTCATACTTACTATAATAAGAAGACCTGATTTCAGTCATTATTATTATTGTTCCATTGGGTTCCTAGTGGAACATAGGGCTTCAACTGCATGTCTCCACCTGCTTCTGTCTTCTGCTGTATTTTTCACCTGCATCCATGTTAGTCCATACTGTCTCAACTCCTCTTCACACGATCTCCTCCATGTCACCCTTGCACCGACGTCCCACTCGCCGCTTCCCTTTCGGGTTCCACTCGAGCATTGGCCTGACGAGAGCGCGATGTCACCAACCGGCCTCCTCAGCGAGTACCGTTCAATCCATCTCCACTTTCTCCTGCATATTTGTTGGTTGGCGATTGGTTCTTGTTTTGTTTGTTCCCAGACATAGTTTCTTGTTGGTGATTCTTTCCGGCCCGGCCATCTGATCTTCAGTATAGAGCGAAGACAGTTGTTGGTTGATAAAGATCTGCAACAGGCTGTTGAAAATATTCTTTGTGACCCGCCGGCCAAGTTTCTGATCCGTATAGAAGAAGTGACTGACTTGACGTTTGTATTGAAAATCCGACTGAATTATGTTGTTGTAGCTGGCTGAGTGACGAAGATTTCCAGATTGGTTTCAGGTTGATGAATTTTTTTCTCGCTCGCCTTCCCGACTCTCACTCGATTGACATTCTCGTCCGTTCTAACTGCCTGTAGTTGAGACAATGCTCCCTAGATAAGTGAATGAAGTAACCTCTTTCAAATCCCTCCCATTGATGGTGATTGGCGCTGGATGTTGCTGTTTTTGTTGGTTGGTTGGTTGGTTATTTTCATAACCTCCGTCTTGTCTATGTTCATCACCTCGAGTCCTGTCTTCGTTGGCTGCTTCTTCGATCAATCTTTCGGTTTTCGCTTGTAAGTCTTCGATTTTGTGTGATATCAAACATAAATCATCCACGCGCGAAATCCCAGTCTTCTAGGTTCTCCACGTCGGTCGAGGATATCCCTGTCTTCTCGTTTCCCACTCATTGTCTGACGCATAATCCAGTCCACCACAATTAGGAATATCCTTAGTGATAATAAGCACCCATGTCTGACTCTTGTGTTTACTCCAAACGCCTTGCTGAGTTTTCCGTTGTGGATCACTTGACATGTGCCGCCGTTGTCGTATAGCTGTTGAATAAGATTGACGAATATTTGGGGGTACGCTGTAGTACTCGAGTAGTTTCCAAATTACTTCGCAGTCAACGCTGCGCTATCGAAGGCCTTCTCAAAGTCTATAAAGTTGAGGTAGAGGTTTGATTGTCATTCCATGCTTTGTTCGGTGATGATGATGTGTAAAGTAGTCATTAAATAACCTTAACTACAAATTGTAAACAACTACTCGGTTATATTTTATTTTCATATTCGAATAAGTTAATGTACTAATGAAGTAGAAGTAGTCTATATCTAGTGATTACAAATATATATACTATACTTGTTTTCATAATTTTAATGCCAAATCAGAATGTTTATTCGTAAAACATTTGTGATCAACGATAAGTTTCCTTGAAAACTGCCCTTAATCAATTATTTGGAAACAATATGTACCTTAAAATATCAGGATTCAAGTGTTGGTTTGTAGGGATTTGATTGGTTGCAGGATTTCATCATGAGCTGACATTAGTTAGAGAACTATTGGAAAACCTGGAAGCACTGGAGAGCTGTTTCGTCAGCCTAATTCGGGACTCTTCATCAGCATGTACCCACCGGGATTCGTATCCAGGACCTTCTGGTTACAAAGCGAGCTCGTATAGCGACTTCCCCTATTCAGGTAGGTAGTTAACTGGGGTTCTAGTGAGAAGTTGTGACCAGTAGGGTGCAGCAGGTCAGGTGTGAGGACAAATACTCGCCGAAGACATTGGCTAGTGGTCGCGTTATGTCGTGAATTGGCAGAAGTTAGAATTCATGGACTGGCCATTGGATCGGTCCCAGTGGCTCAATGGTATATAAGATCGCTGATGAGTGTGCGTACTGATGAAGAGTCCCAAACTAGGACGTAACAGCTGTCCAATACTACCAGGTTTTCCAATGGTTCTCTAACCAATGTCAGCTCACGATGAAATCCGATATCAGGATTCAATTTAATGAGTAAATTTATCCTACCTGTTTGAACAGTGATTTAATTTCCTCTTTTTTATTTTGACAAAACAACCCAACAAAAACTGCCATACCTTCAGAGCCTCAAGTGGATTCGGTAGCACACGCTTTGAATCGTTTTGTTCCACGATTCTTCTCCTGTACCTATTGTGCATTTCATTTTGCACTGAATACAGCCAATATAGTAAAACCAGGTGAATCAATACTACCCGAGGATCGGCCTAGTCCATCTCCAGAACAATTTATTTTTGATGAAACAATCATTCCTACTTTACCAAAAGCTCCAATTACTCCAAGGGATAGTGTACTGTGGTTGTCTTTTGTACATAATCGTGTGAATAAGCGTTTAGCTGGACAATTGTCTGAGGATCCAACTGCACCTAAAATTCAATTTCCATCTTTTGATATATGTCCTAATTGTTGGGCTCCAAATTCTAAAGGGGAATTACAATTGGGAAAAAATCCACAGACAGAAGAAGCCTATTTTCAATTTCTTGTTGAACGTTATGGGAAATCATCATGGAATTATGACCAATTACCTGTAATGTTTATTACAGATGATTTGTAAGTCTATAATTATTTCTTATTTAGTTATATCTTTAGAGTTTATTCCATCTTAAGTATTTCTTAGGTAATCGGTTTTCCTTAGCTAGGAAAGTGTAGAACACTTAAATATGTCATTTGTTCACAGTATACATTGATAAGTCGTTTGGATGTTTGAAGTTGTAGGTAAATCTTGCTGTGTTGGATGCCAATAAACAAGAGACGTAGATCCAGGGCTTCTCGCTGATTACCTCCAACGATCCAGCATGCATGCTTACATTCATTAAATAAAACATCTTAAGACCAATCTAGATCCAAGGCTTTCTGTTGGTTGTCATCAATCAGCTAATAATATGGCCATTGTTTATATCGTTCTCACCAAAAAGTAATTCCATCTTATGTAAGCCTATTTATATGGACATAAGTTAAGGTCTGGTGATCGCGAATAATATATAACACTGTATAATTATACTTTTCATACTTGTATACTTTTACATACATGTATAACAATGTAGTTACGGTTGATAAATTCTGTCACATAGAATTCACATGTGTGTTATGAAACGAATTTTTAATCTAGTTAGATCTCTCCTGCCATTTTTTTTATGTAAAACATTTAGTCAAGACGATTTTTAGACTTTAATTCAGGTCTTTCCTATTTACTTGTATGCAAATCTAGTTAAAGTTAACACGTGATTGTTTGTTTTAGAGAAGTGCATAATTATTTATACGCTGATTTTACTTTCCCTGTTGATTAGTTATGTTGGAGCGAAATGCTCGATCAAGGTCGACTTGCCTGCTACCAGTATGAACTCTTCGATAATATTTAAGGATTAATATAAAGTTATTTTGGTTGGTCGTGATTAACAGCCAAGATGTCTACAGGTACCCAACATAACCAACCAGTCAAGGGGAAATCCGAAATCAATCTAAAGAGAAATAATAACTGATAACAGTCACAAAAGAACTGGCCCTGACCTAGCATAGTTGCTGCTTTGCAAACTTGACTGGTAGAATTCAGTCTGTACCAAACAAAGGGTTAGACGCATGATACTAGTTACTACCTACTGTTTAATGAAAGACTCGATTATGACAAGTTTGGTGTCATTTAAGAAAGACTCATCATTAGGTATACTAGTCCTAAAGTATACATTATTTTCAACAACAAAATGGGCTGATAAAAACAACATTGACATAAGGTACGAACATTGGAGATTCTAATATAATTTATTGAAAAACAGCAATAAATAAAGTATTTAGTGCCCTTTTTTCTCATAATTTCACTATGTCTATGTAAAATGAATGTGTGAAACAGGAAAACATTAACTGGAAACATTTTATTTCTGTCATAAAATATTTTACAGTAATTATCGAAATGATATGAGAATAAAAACGATACATTGTGTGTGTATGCAGAATATTTTCTAGAAAACCTCATTGTTTATATGTTTATTGTATTGCAACAACTAACTGTATTCGAAGTTACTTTCATTCCTTTGCGTTCCTAGTGGAATAAAGGACTTCAACCTTGAGGATTAAAGTTACAGTAATAGTAGTGTTATTCCTTTTTGTAAGGTGGGTTTGCTACCAGCTAGGGGAGGTTAATAAGTGAGTCAGCGGGGATTTGAATCCCGGATTAGGTGAGGGGCAGTTAGCGAGTATTCTACTATCCAACCACAGGAGCGAAGGACTTTTCATATATATGTATCATTAATTAGCCTCTTTTAGCTGGTTAATTTTTCACATTTAGGAAGGATTTTGACCAAAAATCGCTTCCATCAGTGACATATACTGATTACGAATGCTACATTTCATAATAATGTGTGTGGCATTTGTCTAAAGATATAGCTAATAGATAAGCTCCATTTGGTAGATCTTTTATACTCAGCTTTAAGTTATTATGTGTTAATGTTAGGGTGAGCAATATTTAGGTTAGGTGTCGAGTGTTAGGTAAGGAGATGTATTACGCATGTCTAACCATCACCTTCCTCGACGGGCTATGTTAGCTGACATAAGATCAAGTTGGAAAAGACCTGGTAGTGGTCTAACCAGAACATGGCTTCATAGGTCAATGAATTCCACAACAGTTAGTTTTAGCCACGTAAGAAGATGTATACCCCCCTCTTTGGGGTCCTCGGGATGGTAAAAACCACTGAAAACTGGAGACAACTAGTGATAAGGTTCAGAATCGTTCTCAGTGGCTGGTGCGGATGCATTCACTCTTTTTGATTTGTCATACCTAATAAAACTATTGTTTTTCGGTATTACTACTCTTTCTGCCTCACACCTCTGTTTATTATATCTCTTTTTTGTTGAATTACTCTGTACTCTCTTCTCTGTGTGCTAAATGGAGGGAGAGTGGCAACTGGTACTGGTGCACATCTGTGCAAAGTTTCCAAAGGTTGATTAACACTTAATTCTTTTATCATTATAACCAATTTAATTGAGTATGCTCAATTAAAATAGGAGTGATTTACAAGAGGTAGTGAATTTCTTCTGCAGAGAAGTCATTCTCTGAATTCTATTGTTGTAGCGACGAAAACTGGCGTGTTCTGCTGCATAGTCAACCAAAACTTAATTGAGTCAATCACAGTCCCAAAATACCCTGAAGATGGCAAAAAAACATTTATTTGCGGGGAAATCTGTCATACTGTTGCAAAACAATAATAACATATCGAAACATAAAATTTAGAGATCAGAGAATTCTCGCACACAAATAATTACTGTACAATAAAATTATATAACCAAAATCAGTTGTAAGATGTACCTGAGAATCAAGTGTCCTATTCTCAACAAGGTGGGATCGAAACTCTGTCAGCAAGAATCAAACACCAACAGTTCTCATAGAGGGTGCAATGTTAGAATGACCTTGACTCACTTAAACAAATTCACATAGTAAAACAACACATTGTCAGTTAGTTAGCTACTCAATCAAATATCTATATTCTTCAAAGTGAATTTGGTGTTGACTAATTTATCATTTAGTTTAAATTCGCCGAACTCAAGTACAAATCCCGATGAGGATAAAAGTGGTTTCATGGCGCTTTTGTGCATACTATAGCAGTAGATTCTTCACCCATGTAAACACTGATTAAATGCCTTTAAAACAAGTGAAAATGCAGATAACCGGCGAAGAACTTTATCTTCCTTTCCATACCTACCTCCTTGATAGGATAGAATAGACTTGGCCAATAACAGATTTGCAATTACTTAGGTAGTTATTTGGTGTTTTGCACAGTCGTATGCATAGTATGTTGTTGAACGGAATGCTGTAATCATTTCAAATATTACATTTGTTTTAAAGGTGTTTCACAGAGTTGAATTGTCTGTTGCTCCGATTGATACACTTCACCTGAAAACACCCTCACTCAAATCTACTTATTTTCTTCTCGTACTTGCTGCCTATTTTCTATTTGAGGTTATTTAGCTAGCTGGGTATACCTGCATCTGGTCGTTTCCGGTGTTTATATTAAAACTTATACGATGCATTAAGTATTCAAATGTTTGAGGGTTATTCTGTAAAATATGAATTCACAATAATTGCATATTGTTAGTTCCTACTGTGGTTAGTACTTTGCATTCCTCACTGTTAAAGGGACCAATATCTGTGTGTCTGTACAAAACGAATAGATAATAGTTAACAGTCTAAAATTCCGATCTGAAATATGCAGACTGAATATCTATGAGAGAAAAGGTTTACCTTTGAGCCTCCCAAATTCGTTATCGTCGCTTAAATTTTGATTGAGCATCATTTTCCTCAAATATGTAATCCAGATTATGGGATTTGTGGGAATTTCGAACTAACCTCCAAACACACACCTTTTTATTCTTTGGGCATCGGTAGTGCAGGGATAGAATGCTTACCAACTACGGATGTGATATGGGGTTTGAGCCTTGGCCGGCGCACTCCTAAACCTCACTTAGCCAGTAGTAAGCCCGTTAAAAAGGGGAGGCTTGACATGAAACTAGCAATCTCATCTCCTGAAAATAAGCACCACTGCAACTGAAACTTCAAAGCCCGAACTTAGAGCCCTACATTCCACTCGAAACGTAAAGGAACAAAGAACAAGTAGAATAAAATGTCAGTTGTTAGATCTTCGTTACAAACCAAAATCAGTTATAGAGATCATTGAAAATAGTGGAGCACCGGGAAGCTGTTCATTAATATTATTGAACTCTTCTTGAGTGTGGAGCTACGACCCTACTAAGGATCGAACCTGGGACCTTCAGTTCACGAAAACAAGCTCGTTTACCATTCAGCCACTTGGGCTGGATTCCAGTTTTGTCAACTTGTGATATGGAGCTGACCTCACCAATGCCTTCGATGAGCATTCACTTCACCCTGACACTGTGGAACCCACTAGTCACAGCTTTCCACTTCAGCCTGAGGAAATCCATCCATAAGCCATCAGTGAGTTAGTGATTGATATTCAGATTGCAGGATTTGTGGTTTTGATTGTGGTCTGCAATCATCTCTCTAGCTGATTTTGGTTCGTGACGAAAATCTAACAACTGAAATATGTAATCATTCTAAGTGAGTAGTTTTTATTGCCTCATTTCATAACCTCATTAGTAATTGATTTTTCTTTGCGTTCTGAGTTGAACTTAAGGCTTCAAGCTTTTAAAGATTCAGAAGCAATGATGTTGATTTTACGGGGTAGGGTTGTTGGTTTCATGCTCGATCTCCCCTCTTTCTCAGGGTTTAGGATCGGAGAGTAAACTTAGGCAGGCATAGGTGAGCATCAGTCGGGAACCAAACCTGAACCACCAGCGTATTTAGTACACATTAGACTATTGAACCACCGACACATGTATTCACTATATATGGTTTTTTTTGAGAAATGTAGGCTTTGTAAGATATCAACCTTTGTATTGATTTGTTTCTTAATGTAACTGAGCATTACCCCATCAATTCATTGAATTTTAGTTTAGATTAAATTGTAAGAATAGAAAAAACTACTGTATAACTGTATTTCTTTGATGTTTTGTTCTTCGTGAAAGTTAGAGTGTTTGAAGACATTTTTCTTTTTCAATTCTAAGAGATGTCATTACATGGAATCAGATAATGTTCAATAAAATTTGACTGAAGCATAAACGACTGTTTATGCGTCTACTTTTGGTTTTATTGGCTTATATCAATGAGACTACAATCATCGATTTAATCAGTCTAGAATGCGCTGTATCAGTAAATTTCAGCTTTCATATGACGGTTCAACCCAATATAAGATAATTATGAATTTTGTTGATAATTTGATAAAAGGTTAATGTTTTTGATAATTTTTGATAAGCGAAACACCTAACTTAGTAAGCAGCTTAATAACTGAACAAATCAACGAAATGAGAAATATCGCTTCTGTTTTTGTAGGGATTTCGAGAGTTCCATGAGAGATAGAGTCTTGAAATGTCTCTGTAGTAGTACTTAAGTAAGCAAAGTTTAATTCCCTTGTTCACTTTAGAGATTTGAAAACGTTGGTGTATAACAATTTTAGCTGTTGCGAGATTAATACATAATTCACTAGTCATTTTCTTTTTGTAAAAGATATCACTTTTTATCCTGGCTACTATTTTTCAAGACTTGGGTCACATGGATTTGATTTGTTTCAAGTTCGACCATGAGCTGACATCAGCTGGAAAACTATTGGAAAACTAGAGAGTACTGGACAACCGTTTCATCCTAGTTTATGACTCTTCGGTAGTACGAACTCACAGAAGTTCGAGTCCAGGGCATTCCGGCGAGCTCGTAGACCATTCAGCCACTGGGACATAACTCAATCGCTCATGAATTATAACTTATTTCGATTCGTGATTTTAGCATATCCACCATCCAATGTCATCAACGAGTATTCCCCCTCACTCCCTACATGGTGGACCCCACTGTTCACAACGTTTGAGTAGAATTTGAGACTACTTTGTCCTTTAGCTAGTCACTAGTGAGTATCAGATTAATTTCTCGGAGTTAGTCTGTGGGGATTTGATTTGTTTCAAATTTGATCATATTAGTCTGTAGTCACTCTAAAATCATAGATTAGTACAAATTGGGATTCATAAGCCATTGAAACGGGTTCCAGTGGATGAATGGTTTGCTAGCTTGCCTTTGTAACCGGTAGGTCCTGTGTTCGATCCATGTTGGGTTCGTACATCTGAAGATTCCCAGACTAGGACGAAGTAGCTATTACTTATTGAATCCTAAAACCACATAAATGGATATATTTTGAACTGAAATAAAATATACCGGGTGCCTAATGAATTGCCAAAATCATCGAAGCGCTGCATGCTCCAAACAATGGTGGCTATTGCGATTCCCCTCCAATATCCAGTGCTCTGTGTTCAAAAGAAGCAAGTCCAGCCCCTACTACTGCCTTGGCCTTCAGCAGGGACTATAAATTCGGAACTATTTGGATAGATTTGCAGGGGCTCATTTCTTTAGAGTATTTATTAATGAATTTCTCAGGATATCTATTCTTAGATAAAATATCCTTCAGAGTTTTTAATTCATGCTCATTTGTGCTGTGCGAACAAATTTTACGTGCTCTATTGAACAGTGCTCTGACTAAGTCCTTTTTATACTGGATTGGAACAAATCCTTTGAAATGTATATACTGTCCTGTCCATGAAGATTTTGTATATCTAATAATGTATTTCCAATAGTATATATGTCCCTGTATGCAGAATATTCAGCTGTAGAGTTCTACGGAAATTTGATGAATTCATAAAATCCTGCTTTATTAACGAATGACATTGCCAGCCAGGCTCTCGAGTAGAATCCCAATAGGAAACGACGAGTGGGGCGTCCAAGGGTGACAAGGAAAAGATTAAAGACCATGGGCAATCGTGGGGTTGGCCAAATAGGACATCTCCGAAAGGGAGATGTTCTGTTCCAATCAGGACCCTAGGGTACAATAATAGCCAACCCAGTCTTTAGATTTAAGTGTATGAAGCTGTCTAGTTAGTTTGGCGTATGATTTACTCAGTAGTATAACTCTTACAACATAGATATTCATTATTAGGTTTAGTTTTCTGGATGTAAACACTTGCGTGCCGAGTAAAACTGAATAGATTTACGGAATACTTCAGCATATATATATATATCCGACCGATAGCTGCTACCTTGACCTGATGGTCGGACTTGCGTTTCGCGATGATCCGACAAGCTACACTGACTAGAACTATTGTTCCTACAGGTCCTATCATGCCAGAAAGGTTGTTAGGATAGTGATTAGACTAAAAGCAGTTACCGGCTTAGTGTAAGAATTGTTTTTACACTATGCTGGGGGTCTGTGGGCGAAGTCGTACTGGTAGGGAATAGGGATGTAACAACAGTAAGGTTTTTCCCTCAGACGACCAGCATGCTGGCTATGCTGTGTCTCCAATCTGGAGGGAGGGGGTTAGGAAAGGAAGACGCGAAAAATTGTACATCTTGACTTACCCCACGATGGTCCGTAACCGGAAGTTAGTTTAGTAATACGGAACTAATCCAAGAAACCAGTTCATACAGGCCGTGTCTGACCTCCATGAAGCAGCTGTCCCGTGGGCTCTGCGGTCACGTAACACTAACCCTCTTTCTGTTTCAGGTACTCGAAGTCAGTCATATATATATATATATATATGTACATATGTGGTACTCTATTTCATTGTCACAACTGATCTGTTACTGTCATCATATACTGCTGATTGCTTATTTTCTCTGTCTCATTTTATTACATTAGATGTGGTAAAATACTCCACTAATTGCGTAAAGTAACACTGTTTTTTAGTAGAAGTTTACACTAACCTAATTAACTTCTGGTAAATACCAACCCCACCCCACCCTCCATATTGGCATCTTGCAAGAGCACATTGATTGTTTTCTCAAAACAAGAACAAACACATTAACAATGAGTGTTTATCAATCTTGGGGGGCAAGGGTATTGCTTATTTCTCCTTCACTGAAGATTTTTCTTCACATCTATTTCTGTGTGTTTCTTTATACTTTATTTTATTTAATTTGCCTTAATAGTTTGTTATTTTTGTTTTACGATTTGTTCACATCTCCTATCCAGCATCTTCACTACAGATTATTATTTTCTTAGAGAGTTCAGCACACACACACGCAGACACAACATTTGTTTATGTTTTATAAAATTATTTTTGTAACTCTTACTTATTTTTTTAAAATTATTTTATAACTGTTACACTATATGTGGACAGTATATTTGTATGGTAGTCGGTAATTGGTTTTCAAATTGTTACTACTGCATGATACACGATATCACTGAATTCAGTTCGTTCATGCTGTTATTCCTCACTACTGTGATTGTTTTCTGAAGATTATGTTCTTATGTGAAAATAATTATTGTAACTGTTATTCCCTTGGGTTCCTAGTGGGGCATAGGAATTCTACAGCATGTCTCCATCTTATTCTGTCCTCTGAAATCCTCTTCATATGGCTCTATAGCTGCCCGTGAGCCTTTATCGTCTCCTGAAATGATCTACTCCATGTCACTCTCGGAACTATACCCAGTTTGGCGTTTTCTATTCGGGTCTCACTCGAGTGATGGCCTGGCGCACTATCTCCTCCAACGGTCTCTAAGTGTATGTTCACTCCATCTTATTTTCATCGAGATATTTATTGATCAATAGATTCTTGATTGTTTTATCCCGAGAGCTTCTTGTTGCTTGTTCTCTGTAGTCGGCCTTTTGTTCTTCAGTAAGAAGCCAGCGATGGCAGCTGTTGACCGTTAATTATCATTAGAAAATGGAATGTTGTATTTGTAGGGATTTAACAAGTTTGGGTAAACACTTCGTAATTGATTGAGATTTGTTTAAGAAGCACTGGAGACAATGTAGAACTGTATAGGTCTTTTGTTGCGAACTGAGGAGCTTCAGTAGTGCTCACATGTAATAGTTCACCAGTGAGGGAACTCACTACCTTTATGTTACAAGCAGAAGAAATAGAGTTGAGGTCTACATCTTAACACAATACTTGTTTGTGTAAAAATATTTTTATTGATTTTGAATAAATGAATCTAACAGAGTTCTTCTGATTTCACTAACAATGGAATTACTTGCTGTTCCCAAATCCTCACTGAACAATTTTTTTCACTCTTTAGATTGAAAATATTTTTCTTCGGCTGTGTTGAGACGAAAGCATTATTTAATCGCAAATATGCTGTTAGATAAGAAGGGAAAGTTAACTGACGAGGAAGTGAAGCTTCTGTTGATTGAGGTGTTCTGCATATAAGATGAAATATAAGGCTAAAAAACAGATACGTGTTTTAAGGAGAAAATAGGTTGAAAACCCACGAAGTCTTTTATTGCTAGCCTGAGCTAGACAAGAAAGTATATATATTGTCTATCTAACGTTCTCTATAACCTCGGGATCAGTGTTATGAGAATGTTGATGAAACGGCAGAAAATGGTTAGCAGTTACGGAGAGGAATTTACTCTCCTAGTAAGAAACCTGATCATGAAAGTCCTAACTAGTCACTGTGTCACTCTTCCATAAACGTTTGACTTTTGTATTATTACATTTGTTTTCTTTGCTGTGAAGTTTAACAAGCTGAAGTTAATAGACATTTTTGAGAATTTTTCTAGTGGTAAGTCAATGGTCTGTACTAAGACAGTTGTTGTTTCTTGGATAGTTATGTAATACTGCTTTGTTTGGATTTAATCCTGTTCTCATCTTTTTGTTACATTTTGTACATTTTAAGAAATAGAACAAAAACTCAGTGTATTGTAGTTTCATGTAATTTAACTTGATAGCCACATTTCATGTTTGATCAGGGCTTCACATTCAATTATTGCATCGTTTACCATCTGGTCAATCATTTGTGTGGCGAAAAGTATTTCGTTGAAAACATTAGCTTTATTGAAAATCATTATTCCAATAATCGTCTCATTTTGGTCTTATACCAGTCATTGACAATTATTTTGTGCGTCTGAGAAGTGGCAATTGAATGAGGAGGATATAAAAAGACTAACCTGTCTCACTGATCACAGATGTTTGATCTCTATGTCCCCTGTTAAGTTGTACATAAAAAACGATGAGTAATCTTTAGGTTAGGCGTAGATTGCTATGGAAGCAAAAGAAGTCAGTCAATGAACTTATAAGTACATCAATGGAGATGGCTCGCACACCAGTTACACATACTGAGCCACCTCATTCCTCGACGGCTAATGTTAAGTGACGATAGATCAGGTTGCGAAAGGACCAAACTGTGGTCATACGAAAACCTATCGTCAGTCCGTGAAGTCTTTGACAGTTAAATTGAGCTTGTCACGTAGGAGGTAGAGATTGTCTGGTTGGGGGTCATCAGGACTCTAAGGACCTACGGTGTGGGATTGTTTGTGATATGGTACAGAATCTTTATCAGTGGCGTAAATTTATTCGCTCTTTGTAATCCCCCTCTCTGTAATTATCCTTTCTCCAGGACATTTACTCTTGTTGTAGCTCTTCTGAATTTACTTTCTCTTTTGTCTACCCTTGTGTGGTACATGAAATGCTGTAACTTGAACTGATGCACTACAGTGGAAAACGTTTTGCGACTTAGCTTAATTTCTTCTTACAAGATTTATACTATTCTCATAGTAATCAATAATTCATAAGAACTGTGATCAAGATTTGATTGATTAGTACCGTGTGAGAAGTAGACATTTTTTAAAAATGTATTTGTAAAATCTCAGCGAAATTGAAATGAGTAATTCCAACGTTTACTGCATTCGGCAAACTGGTCAGAACTTCTTCAAGGTAATTAATCGAAATTAACATAACAGACGTTTATGTATAAAAAGGACAAAATGCGTATCCTGGATTCCACTGCTAGTCACCATCCACCAATTAACTTCTAATTGCACGCCCAGACATCGTCGAAGCATCTGCACAAGAAGCCGACATGTCAACCTGAGACCAAGCACTTCGGTCCATTCAATCGACGGGAAAATCTAAAATTGAATTAAATAAATAATATGACCCGTTGCACAAGAGGTGGCTCTCGTGGCCCAAGTGGTCTAGTAGACAACGATTTGGCTTTTGAAACTATGGGCGCCGGGTTCGAGCCTCGGTGGGAACACCATCGCTCACTGGGGAATGCAGGTGCATCCAGATGACGAATTCCAAATAGGACGAAATGCGCATCGTGGATTCCACTGATAGTCACCATCCACCAGTTGACATTTATTGTTTTTTAAAACTTTTTCCATTCATATGAGTCATGAAACAGGTATCAACATGTATAATAAAGAAAATTGCATGAGCTGTAATCAAAATTTGACCCCAGCCTTTCATATATCATATATACTTTTGTTAAACACTTTAAACAGAGTGTACTTTTCATCAGATTATGTTCGACTAAAAGTTCATCATCGTAGTTAACTGAATACGAAGTTATGCAGGTATATGCAGTATACAATGGTGTGTGTGTATGGGTAAACAGTTGTAAAACATTTATTAGCCTCTCCATTTGAAGACATATAAACAAGATCAAGTATGATTAATTAGTCATACATATATCTACTTTTTTTTATTTATTGATCAGGATTTATCATGCATCAGCTTACATCACACCTTCACGTCTGTTCAAATTGTTGACGTTCAGTTATGTATGTAGGGCTAATGTAAGTTGGCAGAAGAAACATCAAAGAAAGGACTTCAGGTGAACATAGAGAAAACAGAGGTGATGAAGATTCCTGGCCAACACCAACAGCAACAACAAACAACAAGCAAAAATGGGAGAAATCTGAAAGAAACAACCTCCTTCACCTACCTGGGAAGCATCGTTTCAGCTACAGGCGGAACTGATGAGGATATCAAAGCCAGAATCGGAAAAGCAAGACAAGCTTTCATTACTCTCAAGTCTGTGTGGAGTTCAACAGCATTCACCATCAAAAATAAGATCCAGATTTTCAACTACAATGTGAAGTCAGTGCTACTTACTATACGGATCAGAGACTTGCACTGCGCGTCATAAAGAGCATCTCAAACAAACTTCAGACCTTCATTAACAGTTGTCTTCGCTCAATACTCAAGATCAGATGGCCGGAAGAAAGATCAGCAACAGGGATCTCTAGAAATGAGCGAACCAACCAGGAACCGAACGTGCAATAAATATGCAGAAGAAATGGAGGTGGATTGGCCATACGCTGAGGAAACCATCAAATGACATCACTAGACAAGCCCTTGATTGGGACTAGAAAGGAAAGCGGTGAGTTGGTTGTCAGTGCGAAGGTGACATGGAGGAGGTCATATGAAGAGGAGATGAAAGCATACGGGCAGACTTGGAGCCAAGTGAAAACTCTAGCAGAGAACCGAACACAATAGAGACGCGCGGCTGAAGCCTTATGTTCCTCTAGGAATTAAAGGAAATAATAATAATGATAATAATAGTGATTTATTGTGGTTAGCTAATTCCTTCACATTCGCTATTCCAATTTCTGCTATTTTGACTTTTGCCTGCTTATAACAAAAACTAAACCAAACTCTAAATCCAACTATTTTGTTTTATGAATTGTTAAGCATCAGTCATTGTGTCGAAAAACAGTATAAACGAATTGTTTTCTTATCAATTAAATTTCAAAGAGTATTGACTGAATAAAGTATATATATATATATATATATATATCAGAGAATAACACATTGGTCTTTAGCCTAACACCTATGTTTTTCGTTGTGGTTGTGGTTTTTGTTGTTGGTTGATGTACATCAAAAATTTTAGCCTTAAAATGTAAAATCAAAAAAATTTATTGATTAATTGGCTTAGGCTATAAGTGGTGTGACTGTTTGTTTTACACATATAACTGTCACCTTTATATATATATATATATATATATATATATATATATATATATATTAAGGCTGATATATGTCAATAAGAAGAAAAATTAAAGTGTCATTTTATAAATGTAGTTCGATAATATATGGAACTGATTTTTGTAACTGATATCTGTATAGTACATTTATTATTATGTGATATGATATGTGAACTGATTGCTTATGCCGTTACTATCACTAACTATTTGATTAGATGTTTTAGGGTTGTGTGATAAGTTGAATTCATTAAATATGCGCAATACAAAAAAATCTATAAGACTGTTTAATGAACAAAAAATATTCTTTTCGATAAATTCGTCATCAGCTTCTACATTTATATGACGATAATAATTAAAGAATTAATAATGATAATAACATTAATGTTTTGAATTACATTAAAATCAATAGTATTGACATATTATAGTTCATAAGCATCAGTAAGAGAAACAGATAATAGGCATTAATATATAACACGAGACTGAACATTTGTGCGTCGGTGGCATAGCGGTTAGGACGCTCGCCGACCATGCACATGGTCCGGGGTTCAACCCCCAGCCGCCAACGCACTCCTTTACCTCGCTAAGCCAGAAATAATGCTAGTAAAAGAGGAAAGGTTGGGCATGAGGCTAGCAACCCCATCCTGTAAAATAAACACTGCTACAGAAACTAAAAGCCACTAGCTTGAAGCTCTATGTTTCACTGGGGAACGTGAAGGAAAGAAAAAAAAGAGACTGAACATTAGACAAATTAAGGGAAATGCAAAAGAATTTATGAACTCAATGGTTTGATAGCACACCGGGTAACATTAGTGACTAGAACTGTATCTTTTGTATATATAGTTCCGGTTGATTTAAGCAAATCACAATGCCTTTTGCTGTTTGATATCTACAGGCCTCTGACAGTTTATTCCATACTCGATAGATGATTGAGGAAGACTCTTCAATGCCAGCTTTGTAATCTGTTTGGACGAGGTGATCCAATAGGAAATTTATTGAAGACACAAATATATGTCTCCCGTTGATAATTGATTATATTGTATCGCAATGGTGGATTTCTGATAACATTCTGGTGGATAATGTCTTAACATTCAAAGCGATTTATCCACGGCTCAAGTTTCAGGGGGAACACCACCACTTACTCATTCACTGGAAATGCAGGTACATCCAACTAGCTTAAGAGTCCTAAATAGGATACACATCTGGATTCTAATGCTTGTCATCATTATAACATACGGTTTATATATGATGGTTTAAGGGTTATTCATAAATTCTAACTAATAACAATGATAATAATTTTCTATTCCTTTTTGTTCTCAGTGGAACATAGGACTTCAAACTTTAACTTTAAAATTTTCGTAGCAGCGGTTTTACGCTAGCCGTAAGGCCTAACCTTCCCTCTTTTACCTGGCTCATTAGTAGCTAAGCGAGCTTACGGAGGTTAGTTGGCCGAGAGTTAGCACCTTCGGACCACTTTCGTTGTTGACAAGTATTCTACGAAGGAATCACCGACTCACTTAATGGTTATAATCATAATAATGGTAGTCACATAAAAGTGTAAAAAAGACGTGTTCGTATCTAATCAGAATGGTTTTGGTGAGATGTGTTTGTTTTTCAATGTTATAAGCGCATATTTTGCATGACATTAATTAAATAGGGTAAAATTAACTTCATCACGATTTTCTAAGACCTTCCGATAATCATGAAATATAGACGGTCGGTAATACATCTGCCTAACCATCTCCTCGATTTGCGTTTGCAAATTCCTCCAAGGAGTCAGTGAAACTGATACATAATTACTCTTTCATTTAAGTAATAATGACCGTTAGTTGAGTTAGACAGTTATATGTAATGCGTGAAATTGTAAATGGTAAAATATTCCGTCTTACAATCAAGATCGTTTCAGGTTTATTTGGATGTTTTAATAATTGAGCATGCGGTACCTCGATGTTTTCGGCAATTTATAGAGGATAGAGAAGGATTTTTCAATACTAGCTTTGTGGCCGTTTTGGACCGGGTGATCTAATATCTAACCATTGATAGTTTATACTAAACTTTTACTTAGCCATACTGGAAGATGTTCTCGAGCACAAAAAATCAATTTCCTAGACCAACGGCTGATATAACTCACTCCACAAGTGCAGTTCGATTGGTAGATGCAATTGTTTAACTAGTAGGTTTCCATTTTTATCTCATGTTACATGATATACCTAAATTGCAACGTGGAACTATGTTGATGAAAAGATAACCTGATATGATTATGAGCAGTAGTTTGTGCTCGAAACGTCACCAGTTAATAGTACTGTACAACACTGTGTGATTTATCAAAATAAAATCTTATCCATAATAGAGTTATGCTCTACCACAGTGCCCACGTTTTATACTTATATCGATAACATATATACTTTATTGTTTGGTCTACTGTTGTTTTTGAAACTCTGAAGACATATCAATGTTTCTGCATTCCTTTTATAACCTTTTTCATAGGATATCATATACAGGAAATTATTTTCTGATTTTCAAGTATTGGTTTTTATGCGGTTTTTGTTTGATTGGTTGCAGGATCTCATCATGAGCTGACATCAGTTAGAGAACCATTATCTGATTTGTTTAAATATATATATTTACTTATCGAGTTAAAGCTTATTTGGAAGCATCTATTCAAAGTCAATTTGTCTTCGTCTTATCTTATTCTGATAAAAAAGATATGCCTACATAAATGAATTGATAATAATGTGATTTGAGAATAATTGTTATCGTAATGAAATAACCTGAAGTCACCGAGATCAGTAGATTACAGTTCAAAACATATGTGGGTCGGTGGCACAGCGATAGAATGCTCACCAACCACGCAGGTGATTCGGGGTTCAATCCCCCGCCGACTCACTCCTCTACCTCACTAAGCCAGTAGTAGGACTGGTTAAGAGAGGAGGTTGGGTATAAAGCTAGCAA